TCGTTGGCGGCTTGACAAGCCCTGCGTCTTGAGGATGAACAGCGTGTGGGCAGCTATATGCCACGGGGTGTGCGCCGGTGAAGGCGTCGATGCACCAGTTAAGTCTAGTAATGTCATTTCTTGATCTATGAGTGTCTTCGGACATGTTTTCCTGTGTGTATAAGCTTAGGAATTTCGTGTGGAATGGTTATGCATGTGTGAGATGTATATCGTGGGTCCCTAGGACCCGCCCTCAATGAGAATTGTTGGAATACTCACCCCTTTTTCTCTGCAGGTGAGCGCGTAGACATGCAGAAGTAGTCCTGTGGCTTGGTGATGGTTTTGGAAAGATACGGGATTTATTTTAGTATTCGTTAATTATTTTAAAGACATTATTTAAATTTTGATTTATTATTTAAGTGTAAAAGGTCTTTGTAAGATGTTTTGAATACGATCGTTGGGAATAAAAGTGGCATAGAACTAGCAAGTGGTTTCTTGTGGTGAAAGTTAATGCACTGTAACATGCCATCTTGGTCTGAAAGAGGCGGGTGTTACAATTGGTATCAGAGCCTAGGTAGGTGGATTGTGAAAAGAAAAATGTTTTCAAAATGAGTTTTCAAGTTATCGATTTTTCATAAATATTTTTAATAGTATTTTCGAATAGTTTTTATATTTTTGAATTTGTAAAAAAAATTATTTACAGTTTATTCTAAAGAAAAAGAGAAAATAAAATTTCTTTTTGGACAAAAAGGGTATTTAATTGGAAAAATTAGAAACATCACCTAGCTGACTTGATCTCCGTGTTTTTCGTGAGTTAGGTGTTTCGGCTTTGTGAAGAGTTTTGGAGTTTGTTTCTTCTGTGTTCAGGATGCCGCCAAAGAGAGCACGTGATGCCCGAGCCCCGAGAGATGTGCAACCCGCAACTAGGTCAGAAAGTGCTGCTTTGACAGAAAGTGTCTAGGGGAACAACACTGTGAATGCGCAAGGGGGCGTGGACCCAACAGGGGTAGCCCAAGGAGCTAACCAAGCTGGCATGCATGCAGCCTTGATGGAGGAGTTGCAGAGGTACCGTGACCGTTTTGGGATCAGATGCGGAATGACCCGGGAGTGGGGAATGTGCATCAGCAGGCTCGCCGTTGAATGGCCAGAACGGGGGAGCACAATATCCGCCGCCACCTCCACCACCGGTTGTGCATGTGCCAGCTCAAAGACCATCGTATTGGGAAACATTAACATTGATGAGGGATATGCAGATGAATCACTTTGACGGGAAGGCGAGTGCCTTGGCTGCTGATAATTGGAGGAAGAAGCTGGAGAAGAACTTTGAAACAATCAGGTGTCCACAAGAGTACCGCAAGGACTTGGCTATGCAGTATCTGGTAGATGATGCCATGATATGGTGGGAAGGTTTGGTAGAGTCGACGGAAGGGCATTACGAGTTGACTTGGGCTGATTTCAAGGAGGAGTTCACTCGGGAGTACTTTCCGCCAGAGGCCTTGGATAGGATGGAGAGTGCTTTGGACGAGCTTTGTCAGGATAACCGAACTGTCCAGGATTGTTAGGAGGAATTCAACCGTCTGAGGAGGTTTACAACCAGACGCTTGAGCGAGGCAGAGCTGATTCGTAAGTTCATGAAGGGACTCAGAGTCGACCTCAAGAACCACTGTTCAGTCAGGAAGTATGCCAGCATGGTGAACCTAGTGGAAACCGCTGCGGAGCAGGAAATGGGACTGTAGTAGGAGCTCAAGTTATCTAAGCATACTTAAGCTAAGAGTGGGAAAGTAGCTGAGAGTCATAAGAGGAATTGGGAAACCGCTAACTCCCATCCAGCACCAGGAACGGCCCCGAGCGGTGTTGTTTTCTACAGGTGCCATCAGCCGGGGCATGTGAAGACGGATTGTACAGCAGGCCTGCCACTGAGAGAGGCCCAACCTTTGAGGAGCACGTGTCATCGCTGTGGGCAGAACAGACACTTTGCGAAGCAGTTTATGGTTCCGCTTCAAGGACAGCAGCTAGGAGGACAGAATCAAGGATAAATTCAGTTGCCGGTGCCACCAGCAGGGCAGCCAGGAAGACCTCGAGTCTATGTTCAACACTGAGAAAGTGCTGGGCTTTCCGAGGCGTGGTTTGTCTTAAGGACGAAGGAGACCGAGACAGTCAGAGTTGAGCTTGTGTAGTCCACCAAAGTTTATGAAGAAGTGCCCATGGTGCTGAAGGGAGTGAAGTTATGCGAAAATCTTGTGAAAATTGAGCTTGACCATTATGAAGTCATTATGGGGATGGATTGGGTGACCGAGCGTCGATCATCATGAAAGTTCTCTGAAAGGATTTAGAGTTCGCAGTGGGCTATACTGTGTATTTTAGGATGAGAGCAATCCGAGGAACCGTAAACTTGGAAAGTCGAGGCCAAGGTTCATGTGGATGTATAAGATCATAGGTTTGTCTTACCACACAAGTTATCAAACTTTCATGATGGATTTCATGGGTAAGTTTTGAGGGTTGTGGTATGGGAACCGAGGCTGATCTTAGATGTGCCGCCAATGGATGTGGGCTGAAACTTTACTGTTACGAGTATGTCGGTGAGAATTTTAAATCGTCAAGAGTCAGAAGTTCAAAAGAAGAAGACCAAGTTGGTACGTGTTTGTTCGGCAAGGGTATGGAATCCGGGAAGAATTTTTGGGAGCCTAAGGCTGTTGTGCGGGTTTGCTATCCGGAGCTTTTTTGGGTCGTTTGTGTTGTACGGGATGCCGACTTCAATTCGAGGGCGAATTCCCGGTAAGTGGAAGAGAGTTGTGACATCCTGGCCCAGCCCAAATGAATTTTTGTAGACAAAAGCCCAAAGCCCAAGCCCAATCCGAATCTGACCTAGGGTTCCCCTCGCTTCCAGTATAAATACAGAGCTCTCCCTTCAGTTTCTGCACAGAAAAATCTCCAGCGAAGCTATGCTCTGTTCCCACCGGAATCTCTCATTGGAGCCGCCGCCATCGCTGGAATCTTTCACCGGAGCCGCCACCGCTGGAATCTCTCACCGGAGCTTCCGCCGTCACTGGAAAAGTCCTCGTAGACGCCGCACCGTCAACGGAAAAGTCGCCGGAGCCGCCGTCCACCATCGCCAGAAGTCACCCGAGCCGCCGTCCACCATCGCCGGAAAGTCGCCGGAGTCGCCGTCCGCTGTCACCAGAAAAGTTGCCGGATAATCGCTAGTTACCGAAAACGTTCTCCTTCCCGCCCTCTTCTCGAATATGTTGTTATTTCTTGCGTTAGAAGCCTTGGTGAGCGGATCTGAGCCTTTTTGGTTTTTAGATATAGATATACTTTTACAGATCTAGATCTACTTTCCCGGATCTTCTTTTTCCAGATCTGTATCAATCTTTTTTTAATATTCCTTTCTGTTTGTTGTGGGGTCGGATCCATATCGTCGTAATACCCAGATCCGTTCGGCGAGGACCCGCAGTAGCCAGATCTCCATCCAATTTTGTTTTCTGCTTCCGATCTGAGACTAAGGTGAGGACTGGCGTAATCTATCTCTTTCAGATTCATAGTTGTTTCATAATGAGTAGTCTTTTGTTAATCCGCGTATACATGCGCTGTATCTATATGAATACAAGTATTTGATTATTGGTTGACCCTGATTAGTAGCGCTTTATAACATTATAGTAAATATTATTGTCCTGCGGTTGTTGATTGATGAACTTAGTATCATAGGTTGTTAAACGGAATTCTATTGATTGGTGTATAAATAGTGTTTGCGGGTGTTTGCATTACATGGGGAAAATCAATTGCGGGTTGGGATTAGATGTAAGAACCTCTTTTGATATGTATGGTTTGGATATGGAGGCGTGTGGGACTCCATAATCCCTTGTTGGCGGCTTGACGAGTCTTGCGTCTTGAGGACAGACAGCGTGTGGGCTGCTACATGCCACGGGGTGTGCGCCGGTGAAGGCGTGGATGCACCAGTTAGGTCTAATGATGTTATTTCTTAATCTATGAGTGTCTTCAGACGTGTTTGCATGTGTGTATTAGCTTAGGACTTTTGTCTAGAATGGTTATGCATGTGGGAGATGTATATCGTGGGTCCCTAGGACTCGTCCTCATTGAGTATTGTTGGATTACTCATCCTCTTTTGTCTGCATGTGAGCGCGTAGACATTCATGAGTAGTCTTGTGGCTTGGTGTTGGTTTTGGGAAGATACGAGATTTATTTTATTGTTTGTTAATTATTTTTAAAATATTATTTAAATTCATATTTATTGTTTAAGTTAAAAAGGTCTTTGTAAAAAGTTTTAAATATGTCCTTGTAAATAAAAGTGGTATTGAACTAGCAAGTGGTTTTTTATAGTGAAAGTTAATGCACTTTAACATGCAATCTTGGTTTGAAAGAGACCGATGTTACAAACTTAACAGTATTTGCACTACCATTCATTATAGTTATCAAATATTTTCTTAAAACTTTAATTAATACAAATTTGTGTGAAATAAACCTATAAGTTTGGTTGTTCCCTATATTTGTCATGGTGTTTGGTAAATCTGACATGTATGCATAAGTCACATTTGTTTTTTTACTATGTTTAAATTTCAGAATTAATTTCAAATTAATTAATTTTTGTATAGATTTATAATTGAAAATTTTTTAAATAGTATTATAAGATTGTGAAATACTTTACAAATTCAGGAGATTATAAAAAAATCTCCAAGAGAAATTGCCAAAACCCTGACCCTAAATAAATAGGACCTGCTCCAAGAATCACGAATCTAATATTTGACTTTGAAACAAAAATGAACCACATTTAAATTGGAAATTCTACTATTCCTTAAATAGTAAATTTTTTAACTTCTCCTCCGAAGTAGTGGTTTAACATTTGATTTTAAGAAAACAAATATTAAAAGTCAGCCAAATATCTCGTGAACGCTAATTTTTTTGTTTTCTTTCATCCTTTACAGGTTTCGATTTAGTTCTCAAATATGTTAATTAGATCGTAAGACGACAAATCTCGGAAAAGACAATCATTTCGCATCGTAGAAATGGGAAGCGAATCAATGAGACACTTGTCTCTGAAAAAGAAACTCAAATCAACGCTTTGCATCGCCGGCTGTTTTCGTACGATCAATCATCCCCACGATATCTCCGACCGGCCATCTTCTCCTACGACTCTAACCGAGAAATCTACACAAAGTCCACATGGTGTAGTCAAGACCAAATCTCCCAGACTCACTCGAACGTTGTCTAAGTCGCAAGAAAAGTGCAAAAATCTTATCAATCGGATTGGCGGCGGAGGAGTCGTGGGTGGTGGTGGTGTTCCCGGCCACGGGAAGCATATTAGACGCCATACGACGGATTTTCATTATGATCCGTCGAGCTATGCGCTTAACTTTGACAGGGGAGACGAGGACGAAAATGTCGATCGCTTTCAGCTTCGCAATTTCTCCGCTAGGCTGCCTCGTTCGCCGCCTTCATCAGCGACAGCGTCGGAATCGTCGTTTACGATTCACAACATTTTGCGGTGATAATTGCTCGGTTTCTCAAAATGTTTGGTCCCTTTATGTTGCAAGTAATCTGATATTTTAGCAACTGTACATATTATATTTTATCTGACATATTGTTGGTGAAATAATAGTTAGCCATTTTAATATGACGTTCGCATGCCAAATCATTATAAAATGTTGTTGAAAGATTGATACAATTCTCGAAGATCCTTCACTTCAAGATGATATAATAAGGATAATTTTTGATGTTCATAGAACGTGGAAGTTATAAAAAATAAGGTGAAATCTTAAAAAATCGATGCAAGTAGCTCTAATTGTAAGTATATTAAATTTATCATTTGATACTAATTTAAACTATAAATAACTAATTTCAATTGGTAGAATAGTAAAAAAAAAATGAAGAACACTTGTTAAATTGGTATTAAAAATTCATAAGGAACAAAAAAATCATTCACAATATATAGATTTAAATAAATTATTTTTTTTAAGATTTTTTTTTTTTATATAAAGTATGAAAAAATAGACGCTGGATGCTCTTAGGCCCGTTCTTTGAGAGAGTTTTTTTCTATCTGATTTTAGCCCATATTTTCAAATATTTACCCGTTATTTCCCAAAATAGAAAGTTGACCTTGATCCTTACTACCTTTGATCTTGTGCCACCGTGGTTCTGCTCCCGACTTTAGTCGGAGGGTCCGTCTTTCAAACCACCGGTAAGCTTCCTCCCTCTATCCCTTGCCCCATCGCTTGAGACCCCCCCCCCCTCACAAACCTCTCCCGTCTTTTGTGATATCTCCACTCTTATTTCCTTCCCAAACTACTTGTTTTACCCAACAGACAACCCATGCCTTCCTCAAAACCGTCTTTCTATATGTCATCTCAGAGCCGGTTCTAGCAATCACATCCTACTATTAGCCGATAGGATACATCTAGTTTTGGGCCAACAACGTTTCTTCAACCCCCAAAGGCACCGTTATACCACCCTCTTCAAAACCTTTCCTCCCTTTTTAACCTCTCTTCATAGCTCCCCAAAAACCCCTCTCACCACGACTTCAAGATCTAATCACCTTTGAGCAAACCTCGTCCTATACCTCCCTGCTCACGACAAGCTTTAATCATCCCGAGCATCGCCATACCCTCCGGTAAAATGAAGCACCGATTAACTTATGAAGAGAAAGGAAAGTCCATAGCGAGAGAAAAAGCTGGGCCGGCCCGTATTCCAGTCCGTGTACCAGAGTTTGACAGCTCAGATCTAATAAGAGATAACCAACTCACATTCATTGGAAGACTCACAAACCCCAAGGAGCAAGCTATGTGGTCAATGATACCATTCCTAGCCAGATGCTGGAATCTACAAGGTAGAGCAATAGGGTCAGATCTAAGAAACGACTGTTTCCAGTACAGGTTTGACTTTGCAGAAGACCTTGAGAAGGTATTAGAGAACAGACCTTACCACTTTAACAGATGGATGATTATCTTGCAACGGTGGGAGCCGATCGTCTCTGCCAACTTCTCCTCAGAAATCCCCTTCTGGATCCGAGTAAAGGGCATTCTCCTGCACTACTGGAAGACTGATATGTTAACAAGTCTGGGAAGCGGTATTGGATCCTATGAAGCACAAGAACTCACCAAGACGTCAGCCAAAATTCGAATCTGTGTCAACGGCCTCCAACCTCTAATCAAGGAAACTGTCCTGGAATTCTCGAATGGTGATGATGCAGAAGTGCTGCTGGAATAAGAGAGACTTGAAAAAACACTGCTCCATTTGCAACCGTCTAACCCATGAGAAAAGAGACTTTGTCCACAAGCACAAAGGGAAACCAATATCAGAAAGGAAATGCTGGGCAATGATTCTCAACAGCTAACTGCCCTCCATCCAAAGTCTACGCTACCACCAAGCAGGAGGCTACATCAGGAGATGAAGGAAACAGAGGACAGAGGAACTAATTCAAACCATTCGTATCAGAGACATCATTCGCAACACAGATCTACATCTCGATGGAATTATCACCTGAGAGAAATCCAGTCCCACGACTACCAATACCATAAGATCTCTGACAGAGAAGTACCAAGACGCACGGGGGAATACCACCAGTCTCCACCAAGAGAAGGGAACACTCAAGATGCAAGCCGCCACCTACTGCCAAGAGAAAACTCTGGATACCAAACAGCTCTTAGCAGAAGGACAGAGAACCTGCCTCCAAGAAGAGAAAGAATGATCGAAGAGAGAGGATCGTACCGCTCTGTGATGTCAAATAATGAAAGACAATACAACCAAAGGGATACTGCAAGGGCACCATCAAGCTACTAACAACGCAAGGCACCCAACCCTATCGAAACAATACATCCACTAACATTTGAAAGGGAAGAGAAGGCAACATCCCGCCATCAAGACAAACACCAACAACCGATACTAACCCTTGAAAAAGCGCTGGAGGAACTTCAGAAGGTAACCGTCCAGTATACAAATTGTGCAAACCCGTTGGAAAGTGCTGCAAGAATGCAAAGAGTGTTGCAAAGTGAGGAACGCGGACTAATACTGGAAACAACAACATTAATGGTTGAAGGCTAACCGTATGAATCAGATAGTTTTACCAACCATCCCTCGGGAAGCGGAGCACCTCTTCGACTCACGAGCAGTTAATCCCACTCTGGAGCAACCTGAAACAATGATTTCAGCACAACAGAGCAAGAGTAAGCAGATCACTAAATCACGAGTGGTGAGGAAAAAGATGGGAAGACCACTGGGGAAAAAGAATAACCCCACAACCACCGCCACAACAATTGGAACAAGCTCGAGGAAGAGGAAACTCAAGTAAATACAGCAATCACCTAAGAAGAGGACTCAGCGAGGAAGGAACCGACAAGGTAACTGGGAGGCAGGACCCTCATCAGCAGTTTTGATCCTAAGACCTCTTCCTCCAAACCTTAGCACAGCTGAAGGACAAACTTCTTCACCAACTGATACAGCTGCCCGCTCATGCCCCACTATTCCGGCAAACCTGAAGAACCAATCGGATTTTCGGGAACCTGCCACGTCGTATCCACCACGATAGTGAGCTGGAACTGTCAAGGGCTGGGGAATCTCTTGACAGTTCACAGAATCCGGGAGATGCTCAGAACGATCTCCCCTGATATTCTATTTCTCATGGAGACGAAGAACTCCGATGATTTTGTTCTCACTAAGCTTCAATGGATGAACTATCACTCTCACTACCTAGTTTCTCCTCATGCTCGAGGAGGGGGTGGATTAGCTTTATTCTGGAAACAAAAAGTCGAAATGGAAGTGCTATCAGCTTGCAAAAACTTTATTGATACTAAACTCACCTCAGAGGGCATAACTTCATACGCAACTTTTGTATATGGAGAACCTGAGATTCAGTCCCGCTTCCACGTCTGGAACCAACTCCAAGAAACTGCCTTCAACCGAGATGTACCCTGGCTCCTCACAGTAGATTTCAACGACATTATAGACAACTCAGAGAAAGTTGGTGGACCCATTCGCCCTGAAGGTTCCTTCTCCGTTTTCCGCAGCTTCATATCAGCGTGTGATCTGTACGATTTGCAGCACTATGGAAATCCCCTATCCTGGAGAGGAAAGCGGCATGAACATACCATTAGATGCCACCTTGACAGATCCATGGCAAACAGCACTTGGGCAGAGACATTTCCCTTGGGAAGTTGTGAATACCTGCGGTTCGAAGGTTCAGATCACCGGCCTATAACCACATACTTCAACTCAAGCTCAAAGATAAGACGAGGTCTGTTCCGCTATGATAGAAGACTCCGGAACAATGAGGAAGTGCACTGCTTGATAGAGAAAGTGTGGCAAAGGGACAGTATCAGCAAAGTTGGGAGCAAGCCGCAGAGAGATAATTGCTTGGAACAAGGCGCAGCACAATAACAGTCAGAAGAAAATAAAGGAACAAAAAAAACTTCTAGAGGAGGCAATGGTAAGTCCTAACTCTACTGAGGCTGAAATACGCGTCATCAATGATACCTTACAAGAAGCCTACAACAAGGAAGAAGAATTCTGGAAGCAACGAAGCAGACAACTGTGGCTAGCATTGGGGGACAAAAACTCGGGTTACTTCCACGCCACTACAAAAGGGAGAAAGGCAGTCAATAAGTTCTCTGTAATAGAAGACCATAATGGAAATGCAGTATTCGAGGAAGCCAAAATAGTAGGAGTCATTACTGACTACTTCCAAAAATTATTCATCTCCGAAGAAGGCGAAAGAGGAAGCACTGTCAACGAAACCCTTAAACCCCGCATTACAGCAGCAGATAATGAAAAGCTAATTGCCATACCGTCGAGAGAGGAAATCAAGCAGGCGTGCTTCGCCATACATCCGGATAAAGCTCCAGGGCCGGATGGCTTCTCAGCAGCTTTCTTTCAAGCTCACTGGCAACAAGTAGAAACGGCAGTAGTGAGTGAAATTCAGTGTTTCTTCCTCTCGGGATATCTACCTGCCAAAATCAATGAAACACATGTTAGATTGATCCCCAAGATCCAAGGTCCTAAGACAGTAGCGGATTACAGACCCATAGCCCTATGCAGCGTCTACTACAAAATCAACTCTAAACTACTTACAAGAAGACTACAACCACTTTTGCAAGATGTTATCTCAGAAAACCAATCCGCGTTTGTCCCTAAAAGAGCTATCTCAGATAATTTCCTAATAACACATGAGATCCTACACTTCCTCAAAACCTCAAGCGCAAGAAAAAGGTGTTCCATGGCGAACAAGACTGATATGAGTCAAGCATACGACAGACTGGAATGGGATTTCATCCAACTAGTTATTCAGAAACTCGGTTTTCATCCTACTTTCTGTCAGTGGATTATGCAATGTATAACTACAGTTTCCTTCTCTTACCTCATCAACGGTGCAGCCCAAGGAAAAGTACTGCCACAGCGCAGAATTAGGCAGGGAGACCCACTCTCCCCGTACATCTTCATTCTCTGCAGCGAAGTACTCTCCGGCCTTTGCAACAATGCCCAACTTGCCGGATGCCTCCCA